GGGTGAGACATGGCGAGATGGTGTGAGATGGGGCGAGATGGGGTGAGACATGGCGAGATGGTGTGAGATGGGATGAGACATGGCGAGATGGTGTGAGATGGGGCGAGATGGGGTGAGATGGGGCGAGATGGGATGAGACATGGCGAGATGGTGTGAGATGGTGTGAGATTGTGTGAGATGGGGCGAGATGGGGTGAGACATGGCGAGATGGTGAGACATGGCGAGATGTGGAGAGATGGGGTGAGACATGGTGAGACATGGCGAGATGGTGTGAGATGGTGTGAGATGGGGTGAGACGTGGTGAGACATGGCGAGACATGGCGAGATGGTGTGAGACATGGCAAGATGGTGAGACACGATAGTACTCAATAATGAGATAGATTGATAGTACACTCAACCATGCGATACACTAATCGTGTATTCGATCATGTGTTCGAATGATCGTGCATTTAGCCTTTATCTCAATTGCTCGCACAAACCTGATTGATAACTCTGTCGGCAGCGCCACCACCATCTCCCACGTTGCCTCCGCGAGACTTTGCTATCGAGTCCAGCTCATCGAAGAAGAGAACACAGGGAGCAGCAGAACGTGCCTGTAGCAACAAGCAGGAGACACTGATGCAAGAACTCATCGTTACCACGGTGACGAAGTCCCGTCACTCTGTCCCCGGCCGACAGCGTTAACCGTGGCATCGCCCGAGTCGCAGTTAACGGTCCGAATTCACATTTTATTCCATCTCCTTCATTGCCAAGTACTAGCAAATATCGCTTTCAAGTTGAACTAAAAAATAAATGGAAACCTCAATCGCCTTCCATCTCATTTAAAGGAATTAATCAGAGCAGCGTGGAGATGATCGATGTATTCTAGGGGGAGGATGTGCATTCTAACAGAGATGTGACTGACCTTGTCGAACACGTCTCTAACGTTGGCTTCAGATTCGCCGAACCACATCGTGAGTAGCTCCGGACCCTTGATGGAGATGAAGTTCGCCTGACACTCGTTAGCGATGGCCTTTGCAAGCAGAGTCTTACCTGCAACACAACACAACACACACACTCTCATACACACATACGTCAGCACCATGTAGGAGCGGTGTACACAGACAATTCAGAATGCTCAGCAATAGACCATCTTTACCATAGCACTGCCAGCAAATGCACGCGCTTGCACCTTCTACATGCCATGGCTGACTCTCTAGTATTCCTCCTTGCCCTTTCCATAAATGACAAGTTACGTCCTTCTCCTTGCCTCACACAGACGACCTCGATAACAAGACAGTAGCCTCGATGAACCTTCTTCGACAAAAGCGTTAACGTTGGCGCCGCTCCAGGACTTCTGACAGGCCCCATGGACACACTACTCTACCAGGGTTTCTTATACATAGGAGGCACAGTGGTGCACCGCCGTTGTCAAATTTAACATCGCAGTGTTGTGAAAATGTTCCTGTATTTACTGATGAGTATATCCTGTATCTATATACCTATAAGTATATCAATACATCGGATCCTGTATTTGAATCCATCATGCAGTTTTTTTTCCCCAAACTGGCCATTACCTCCTTTGTCTAATTTTCCCTCAGAAGACACCCTGCCCTACCCCCAACAACATTAGAGAGCACCCTCGCAGGCACGTGGCGCATCTGCGCGTCGCACTCACCGCATCCTGGCGGTCCGTAGAACAGCACGCCGCGCGACGGCGTCATGCCAAACTTGAGGAACTTCTCCGGGTGTTCGACGGGATACTGCAGACACACACAAGGCATGCGGTTATAACACCCAACACGACCGACCGCTCAGAACACAAGTACGCGAGCGTGCGCGGGAAACTGAGGCACGAGTTCACATCATGCACAATCGTTTTACTCTCCAATACATTTGTTTTTACACAATCCAATTGGTTTTTACTGTCAAATACATTTGTTGTTCAATTGGTTTTACTGTCAAATACATTTGTTGTCCAATTGGTTTTACTGTCAAATACATTTGTTGTTCAATTGGTTTTACTGTCAAATACATTTGTTGTCCAATTGGTTTTACTGTCAAACACATTTGTTGTCCAATTGGTTTTACTGTCAAATACATTTGTTGTCCAATTGGTTTTACTGTCAAACACATTTGTTGTCCAATTGGTTTTACTGTCAAACACATTTGTTGTCCAATTGGTTTTACTGTCAAATACATTTGTTGCCCAACTGTTTTTATTATCAAATTAATCCATCACACATTTCCCTGCCCACACACAGTCCATCATACATTGTCCTCCCCACACACTTTTCTCCCCACACACAGACCACCCACCACCCACTCTCCTCCCCACCCATCCACCCATTCAACCATGTTTTCGCGACCGCGGCCATGACGACCTAGCCGCGTCTTCCTCACCTGCACGAGCTCCTGTAGCTCCTTCTTCACGTTCGCCAGTCCACCGATGTCCTCCCACGTCACGTTCGGCACCTCGACGACCGTCTCTCTCAGTGCGCTCGGACTACTCTTACTCATCGCAAACTACAAGCATAAACCTCACGCCGTCACATGGTGCGGAACTAACGCGAGTCCGGAGTCAAATACTCCCCCGATTTACTGTCGGACTCCCTGATTTGACATAGGCAGGAGTCCGTGTGACTCCCTGAAAACTCTGCTATACTAACTGGTTCGTTCCAGAGCACGGCCTCGCGGAATTGCCGTATTTTTTCAGCAAATGTCCAAAGACAATTTCGCAGACGTGCAACCGCATGAATCTTCAAAATAAGCACACGCCTTATTGTTAATATCTTTAGTTTTGAACTTCAGATTGCGGACGCCCTCATTTTGCTGCGACATCACATTACGCATACGTTAGAGCTGCACAACATTGCCGTGCACACAGTGAACTAGTTCCGTGCAGTACTTTAGGCATTATTAGAGTGCAGTACACTACAGTGTGCAGCGTGATTTAATTATGAGTGTAGTTACTGCTACTGCCGTAACGGCGCTGGCGACTTACCCTGAAGTTCTCCATGGTGACGGCTAGAGAGTTGAGGACCTCTGCATCAATAGTGTCGTCCTCTAGATCAATGAGATCCATCTTTTCACGGATCTGCTGCAACGCCGCCTCACTGCACAGCGCCGCCAGATCGGCCCCCACGTGTCCGTGCGACTCTGCTGCCACCTACGATCGAAAAAAAGAACTAAAATCCGCTGCTTTTGATTTCACGACAATACTGTATTAAGATAATGATACTTTGTGGCTTATATGATGAGTAAATATTGCACCCAAATTTAGGTGACAATTTGAATATAAGTTTGGCTGCATCACCATTGCCAGACCTGTATATCCTTACCATAAAAAGGTTGCAAGCTTGTTTTAACCAATTAAATTCCCTGCAATTGATAAACCTTTCTTACTATCAGTATTGGTTAGAATATACTGGTCATTATTCTGCTGAGGTATTTGATATACCGTGTTGTAGCTAAAAAAAATTACGTAAAATAATATTTGTTACACCGACCTTAAGCATATATGATGCAAGGCTTACCTTAAGTATATATGTATTTTAATGCAAGGCAGTTTTTGGAGACATCTTTCAAAGGAAATAACGTGTGCTCTATGAGCCGTGAAATATCGTAGCTTGACTTTACGATGAATCAACGTAATTATTATTAACCCATGAACGAGTTTTTGAGACATCTAGTGGTCTTCGTCAAGCTGAACATAACTGCTTGCAGTTGTCACCAGATGGCAGAGAGTGGGAGACAAGAGACGGAAACGAATCTCGTAGGAGGTTGATACGAAGGGTGGTAACCGCTGTGCCAAACCGGAAGCTGCAACTATTCAGGTTGCCACGGCGACGCGGCACGCTCACCCGCTCGAGATCGACGTCATCTGCCAGCTTCATGTTCTTCGTGTGGATGCGGAGAATCTCCAGACGTCCCGTCGTGTCAGGAATGCCAATGTCAACCTCCCTGTCAAAGCGCCCTGCCACACACACACACACACAGTAGAGTCATACACACACTAACACACATCAGCAAATGAAGCATCCCTCCTACCAGACACAACACACCCCCCACCCTGGCCCCACCACACAACCAGCTTCTCACACGCGTCATACGCGCATGCATCCAGAAGATACATTGTTGCTACCAGCTGCTAGGAAAATGTGGAAAAAGCGCCTCTGCTACTTGTTGCCATAGCAACCCGAGAAAACGTTCTAATGCTATCGGTAGCCGCGACGACCCGGAAAACATTCCACTGCTACCGGTCGCCATGACAATCCGGAAGACATTCCACTGCTACCGGTCGCCATGACAATCTGAAAGACATTCCACTGCTACCGGTCGCCATGACAATCCGGAAGACATTCCACAGCTACCGGTTGCCATGACAACGGTTCACGTGGCTTACCGAACCTCCTGAGAGCGGGATCGATGCTGTTGGGTCGGTTCGTTGCCGCCATGACGATGACGTGAGCGCGCTGCTTGAGTCCGTCCATGAGCGTGAGCAGCTGTGATACGATGCGACGCTCCACCTCACCGTGCGTCTGCAACGACAACGACGACGATTAGCATGACCGTGCGAGTGAGAGAGCGACGTCAACATCTGCAGCTTTGGATCACGTAGACTTTACGTAACATTTCCGCGATTATTCGAGCGCACGTTTGGCGTGGTTCAGTGTCGTGATCTGTCTGCTGTGTTTGTCGTGTGGTGCACTGTATGGCGTGGTGCGGTGCGGTACGGTGCATGGCTTAGTTATCATGATGTGGTGTGATGTGGTGTGCAGTTAGCAGGGGTAGAAATTAACTTTTGAACACGGGAGTCCAACAAACTCCTTACTACCCTCAAAAAGAGGGAGTCCGCAGCAAAATGCAGGAGTCCGCAGTCTGAGGTTCAAAATTAAAGATATTAACAATAACGCATGTGCTTATTTTTAAGATTCATGCGGTTGCACGTCTGCCAAATTTTCTTTGGTCATTAGCTGAAAAATACGGTAATTCCGCGAGGCCGTGCTCTGGAACGAACTAGTTAGCATGGCAGAATTTTCAGGGAGTCACACGGACTCCTGCATATGTCAAATCAGGGAGTAAGTCCGACAGTAAATCAGGGAGTCCGACAGTAAATCAGGAAGTATTTGCCTCCAGACTCCCGTTAATTTCGCACCCTGGGTTAGTGTCGCGTCGTGGCACGATGCTGTGCGGTACGGTGCGTGGCTTAGTTGTCATGATGTGGTGTGATGTGGCGTGGGGTTAGTGTCATGACACAGCGTGGTGCGTTCGGCGACTCTCTTGGCGATGATCGGTACAGACCCGACGTTGCCATGGCGACTCACCTTCTCTCTCTTCGGTGCGATCGCATCCAGCTCATCGATGAAGATGATGGCCGGCGAGTTCTTCTCAGCTTCCTCAAACGCCTTCCTCAGGTTGCTCTCCGACTCTCCAGCAAGCTTGCTCATGATCTCCGGTCCTGCATATATGTCACCAGTGACCAGCGTTAGCTACACGCGACATGACCACGCCATGACTATGATAGCCACGGATTATCAGGGTTCTCCAAGCTTTTTCATTATAGCATGGCGGGGCTGCCTTTACGGTCCTAGTTTTAGCATTTTTTTAGCTAATTTTAGCATGGCAGCTGAGCTTTTTTAGCATGATATTTAGCGTGGCGGGTGCATTTTAGGATGGCGGGGCTCGACGATAGCCTGGCGGGCCGCCAGGCTATAAGTGCTCTTGGAGAACCCTGATTAGCGCCCTGCCACGTTACACCCACTACTGTACCAAATACCATCATATAATTCTATCGCTGCCACGCTCGTACGCACAGTCTCTACACAGTGTTAGACAGCTTAAGTGATGTACCAAATACCGTTACATAACAGCACTGCTGCCACACGCATGCACACAGTCCCCTACAACTGTTAGATGGCCTAAGCTTTGTACGATATACATTGTTACATACCACCACTGCTAGCACGCACACACACACACGCACACGCACACGCACACGCACACGCACACGCACACGCACACGCACACACACACAGTCCCCATACAGTGTTAAACAGCATAATCAATGCATGAGTTAGTGTCAGCTGTTAAGGGCGACAGTTATGTGGCACGCATGGGAACCGATGGCGCCACTGTGGCTCTAACGATTGACCCCGCGCGCCTACTCTACTATACCTCCGCTTACTACCTGACACAGGCACTTGAACCCTGCGCTGGCTACATCAGAGGTTTGCACACGCACGCATGTACGCACGCACACGCACAGACGCACACACACACACACGTACGCACACACGCACGCAAGCACACAGACATGCACATGCACACACACGCACGCACGCACGCACGCACGCACACACACACATGCACACCCGCAAACACGCACACACACGCACACGCACTATGACTAACATGCATGTTAGAACGTGCAACAACAGTGCAGCAGCGATGACAGTAACTGCCACTGCACATCATCGGGTGAAGATGGTTAGTATGAGAGGGTGGCTTCGTTAACTAACCCAATTCACATCTGTTACACAGGTCTGCTGCCTAGCATCTCATGCTACCAGGCCACAACAAATAACTTCCACTGAAAGCCACACCACGGCAGCACCGTCTCACTACTCCGCTCGCCCCTATCTCTACGTCAACACAACTAATCCGCCACTCCAAACACCACCGATCTAGTCACAGCAACAGCTAGTGGCATCAGCTACTAATACTACTACTAAATCTAGCCTGGTCGGATCCAAGCACAAGAAACCGCGGGCACTAGCTGCTGCCGGCAAGCGTTCGCCGTACCATTGATGAGGAAGAAGAAGGCACCAGTCTCGTTGGCAACCGCTCGTGCGATCAGAGTTTTACCAGATCCAGGCGGACCGAAGAGTAGAATGCCCCGTGGCGGCTGCAAATGAAAACAGTACCCTGGTTATCAGAGCTCACCGTTTCAGGACGGCGCGGACCTTCTCCGTCTCGCGCACGCTGCCCCGCCAGGCGGCAGCACGCACGCAAACAAATCGCATCGTCGTTAAAACGTCTCGCCTCCACGACGGAAGACAGACGAAGCATCGTCGTCGTTCGCTGCGATTGCCGCCTCGTAAATTACCGTGCTATGCTGCCACACATCGGGCGATGCTTGCAACCAGAGGGTACAAGGCTGCGGTCCTATTTCTCATGGTTAATGGAGTCAGCCCAGCCACATGACTGCCTGAAGGTGGGAGTAGGGAAGGGATTGTCCCTACCCTCCCTCAGACAGGCACCATGTCTCGCATAGATAGGTGGCGCCGGTAATCCCATCAGGCCCATAAGAATCTGGGTGTTGGCACTCCCTGGACAAGCTGCCACGCAGACACAGAGTCTGCGGTCACTGATGTGAGCACCGGCGCCCTCTATAGAGCAACATGGGAAACAAAGACAAAGCATTGATGAGAAAGAAGAACGCTCCAGTCTCGTTAGCTACCACACGTGAAACCAGCGTTTTCCCCGTTCCTGGCGGCCCGTACATTAATATGCCTCTCGGTGGCTGGAAGTAAACAAGTAAACAACACTCCGCTACAACTACGCACTACGCACAGAGAAACTGACAACAAGCTCTGCAGGTGTCCACCGCCACTAATGTTGTCACATCAACAGAGGATAGCGTGACACGCACGCTGCCACACCATCCATGACCCGGAAATGAACTCGATAACAGTACAATCTCTGTGTTAGCGCTATAACTAGAGCAACGTCACAGACACCGACAATGCCACCTGTAGGGTTCACACTGCACTAATGCCTGTACTGCACCCGTGATACAAAAATATTAATAACGTCCTCTGCAGAGCAGTGGTAGCAGAAAGAATACAAAACACAATATCTTGATCTGCAGAAGTTAGAACACAGTGGTAGCACAACGAATACTAAAAGCAATATCTAGGCATGAATTTACAAGGACGCACACTATACAAAGAAAAAACAACAACTTCACAAGCTAAAACTTCAAGCAAAAATCTTTCCCACATATTGCATTCGTGTCAGCAGCACTTAAATCCACAAGTCTAGGGTGACAGACTGTGTGGTAGTTATGAACTGCTAGGTTTGTCTGGCACCTGCTTGATGCTCAAGTGATCAATATTAGACACACTCAAGTAAACTAAGCGGTGCGCCTTGGTACCTACATCAGGTAGATATGAGCTAGATATATATATAAAGCGCTAACATGAAATAAGCGCCATTTTTCCCCAGCGGCCACTGGTTCAACCACCCATCTCATCGGTCCACTTCGCCTACTGTAGATAACAGCTGCTTGACTTTCTTATATATTCGTGTTATAATGCCCAAATTAATCTATGGTGTATAACCTTTTGCCGATGTCTCGATGCTTGATGTATATCAATACGGAGCACTCTAGAAATGTCAAAGACGTTCAGTAAGGGTAAATTTTGGTGCTGAATGTCATGGACACATTGGATTTGACCTCCGAGGTCATCTAAGCCGAAAAAAAACAGGGAAAAATAAAAAAATAGATTGGCCCCTGCAGCAGCATTAAATAAACGGGATTCACTTTGCACTGACTCGCATTACTGTACAATGCACCTTACATTGTGTTGGGGACAGTGTAGCTATAACATGAATATGTTACATTACCATTCTTGTCGTAACAACATCACTTGCACTGACTTATGCCCACAGAGTGTGCAAGACTATTTTCGAATAGTTAGATAGATAGATAGATAGATAAGAAGATAGATTAGATAGTAGCTAGATATTACAGATAATAGATATCGATAGATAGATAGATAGCTAGAATAGATAGCGAGAAGATTAATAGATAGATAGATAGATAGATAAATGGATGGATGGATGGATAGATAGATAGATAGATATATTTTGGGGTATTTTTCTTTCAACCAAGTGGTCATTTTGGCTAATTTCATGGCCTGTATATACGATGAACAAACCTCAATAATAAATCTGATAATACAAGCAGTCAGCCATAGTTCACATCGTCTCGTACTACAATAAATGGCACAGCTCTCACACATATGAAACATAGACAATTTAGTTAGGTAAACGAAATTTCACGATGGGCCACAGTGTGATGGGCGTGTAGACATATAAAAATAGCTGCACATGTACAAATGGCTCCTCACCTTGATGCCAATGGCTTTGAACAGCTGCGGATGCCGAAGCGGCAGCTCTACCATCTCCTTGATCTGGGCAAGCTGCTTCCTGCAGCCTCCGATGTCGTCGTAACCAACGGCATCCAGTGCTTCCTCCTCATCCTGAAACCCAGACAACGTACAGACAATCAGACGCGTGCATCGAGCGTGGCGGCACCACCACGTCCCGGTATCACACACCGCCATTAATGTTATGTCACTCGCTAATATACAAAGTGGCGATCACACCTGCACGCTCAGACTACCCATAGCACAGCCGTGTGTGTATCAAGCATAGAGGCTTCAACAAAGCCACTATATATTGGTGGCAATGAGATTGTAGGAGCAGGTGATTGTTGATTAACTATATAAGATCTATTGGTGGTCGGATAACGAAAGATGGCGGGTAACATGGAAATGGGGTGGGATGAAACAAATTGCAGATTAAAGGGAATTACTGTATAATTATGAAATCTGGCTTAATAATCATGCTACAGTATAATAACTACTTCAGTTCCAGAACTATTGTTTAATAGTAGTTGTTTAATAAACATTTGTGAATGAAGAATGTTTCCCACATGTGCTTCACTTCCTCGTAGTAATCACAATGTACATAATAAACATAGTTACTAACAGACACGCAGCACCAGACTGGGGAAAATGCAATGCTGTCCAGTACACATATATACCATGCAGATTGACAATCTTGGACAAAAAGGAAACTCGAACAACGAAAGGCCAGATAATCGAGACTTCTGTAACTGTTGCAGTAATTTTGCCAAGGATCACTGTTACTCATAAAATCAGTACCCTCTTAGTTATACATCACAGGGACACACGTACACACACATATATATATAATCTTTACAATTATTCTGTGAAATTTACATGCGTTATATCTAAGTATGTGACGGGTTTATTGTATTGTTATTATAGTAGCACGTTTTCGAACACTGGATGCGTATCACTATTAGATAGTAATCATTTCTGAATAAGTCTATGTTTCTAACAGAACTTTGTCAGCAGCACTTAAATCCACAAGTCTAGGGTGACAAGACTGTGTGGTAGTTATGAACTGCTAGGTTTGTCTGGCACCTGCTTGATGCTCAAGTGGCTACAGTGACATCCACTTGAGCTGATTTAAGGTGCGTGTCGCTTACTGAGCAGCACAAGAGTGGTCAAAGTAGGGTGCTATGAATGTGTAAGCAACAGGTGTACATGGCACAGACCTAGCTGCTGACATATCAAAATGGACAGTGCCAGCCACAAAAACAGACCGAGCGTACGAGTGAAGCACATGACATGAATACCAGAGGATATAACGCACAGGTCGTTTTTTAGGGCAAGGCAGGTATTAGGCCTTCGGCTTAAACAGAAATTTATCAGGCACGACGCCAAGGTGGAGTGGCACAAAGGCAAACATCTTCAAAGCACGGTTCCTAACACCATTTGCCTCTTAACAATGCCTTTTATATGGAGTAAAAATTAAGATAGTTAATTAAGGTAATAATAACAAAAACAATAAGATAAGATAATTAATACATG